CATACACAGTGTCACACACACACACAGTGGCGCACACACACACACACACAGTGTCGCACACGATGCTGTAGTTGTATTATCCGACGTATCTTTAACACTCACACACACACACACAACAATGCGTTCTCCTTGGCCCGCTGAAGCTCACCCAAGATTGCAATTACAGGCCCTTCAGGGCCCGTCTGGTTGGCCTAACGGTCCGCCAAAAACTGCGCCAACAATTTTCGGGGCACCACCAGGCGCTCAAAAATCGCCTGGGGACCCCCAAAATTTTTTTTGACCGGACCCCCCAAACCGGACACCGGATCTGGACATCCAGACCGGACCGTCTGGGTCCCGATCCGGATGTCTGGTTGACAACCATGATATTATTTGAAATGATCTAAGATTTGTAAATTTCAAATTTCATTTCCAATTTCAATTGATTTAGTTGTATTTCTATCACTTGGAAAATCCGGTAAAGCACTGTTTCGGTGTGGGCTGCGAAAGTGTGGTACCATATCGAGGCCAACTCTGAATACTGTGTACGAACTTAGGTAACTATTGAGACGGTAAGGGATAGCCTTTACTCTCAAAAAAAGGGAAACAGCCCGAATCACCAGCTAAGGCCCCTAAATGGCCGCTCAGTGGTAAGGGAGGTGGGATTGCAAAGACAATGAGTAGGTTTGCCTAGAAGCAGCCATCGGAGCCATCCTTAAAAGAGTGTGTACTAGCTCAAGCTGATCAAGCGGCCTTCAGCTGATGATGAACCGGGCTGGGATGTAAAATACCATCAGTGGGGCAGTGTTCCGTGCTACCATCTTCAACCGAACAGAACGCCTGGTCATCATAGCTGTATTTGGGGCAACATTCAGTCTGGATACAGCCATAATGAGTGGGCGTTCTATTTCGGGTGAAGACGGTGCGGAGAAGTATCAGTTTAAACAGGTGTGGACAAAGCAAAATCAAGAATGTCGGGGGCTTGCATCACACCAACATTAGTGATAATCCAGTGCCCCGAAAACCTAAGGGTTTTCAACTTCTCAAGCCTTTTTCGAGTATTACTGTTTTGCAACATTGCTGAAACTTTTTTCTGGAGTATTATTGTTTTGGAATATTGCTGTTTTGCTTGTCTGTGTCATGAGCAGGCTCTGCAAAAAGGGCCCTTTTGCTAAGGGCCTTCATTTTGAACTGTGGATGTGCATTTACTATTTACTAAATAGTAAATAGTTACTGCAGTGGTCCTCTCTGTAAGCTGTGCTCCTCTACTTGAGTGAGTTTTTTTTTTTTTTTTTTTTTTAACTGGTAGCCGCTCCATCTATTGGTGGGGAGCTTCACCTGCTGGAAATCGGGTCCAGCGTCCCTTGAATATACATGTGAGAACATAGTTGTCAGAGAGTCTTCTTTTTTCTTTTTTTCTTTTTCTTTTTTTTTCTTTTTTTTCTTTTTTTTTTTTACAACGGGCCCAGTGCCCAAGGCTGATATTAGAGAGTCTTGGATAAGTGCCTTTGAATATTCTGACTGGAGCTCCTCACTCAGCCCAGGGATGGGATGACACTCTGTGGATGTGCATTTACTATTTACTATTTACTATTTACTATTTACCGTGGCTACAATCCGGACGTCCGGACCGCCGTCCAGACGGTCCGGATTCAGTCCGGACTCCAGACGTCCGGTCTGGAAGGGCCGGATCTGCCAAAATTCGAGGAAAAAAAAAAAAAAAAAGAAATGGTCCAGGACCCTTCCCCATTGAGGAGCCAAGCCCCCAAAATTGTTTTGGGGGTTTTTCAGGCCCGTTGATGCTTTTTTGGGGGGTCCGGACATGCTCTCTCTCTATAATAATTTATTAGACAACCCCAATTTTTTAATTATTAATAATTCATTACCTTTTATTAGTTTTTAAAGTCGTTTTTAAAGCTTTTTTATAGTATTGACTTGTAACTCAAGTTTGGTTAGGAATTCTGACATGACTCTGAGGCAAAAGTGGTTTGCATTCTTATTCTGCATAGCATACTTGTTTTTCAGATTTTTTTTTATTTTTTTTTTTAATGGTCCGGACATTTCCGGACCTGTCCAGACATCCCGACCGTCTGGATCCCCCCATGTCCGGAGGTCCGGAAATGTCAGGAATTCCGGACGTCCGGAAACTACCGGACACGGACACGGGTCCGGTTCCATGTCCAGAAATGCCCGGGTCCGCGTCCAGCGTAGCCATGCTATTTACCCAACTGGGTCTCATAATGACTCTCATCCCCTCACACCCAATGGTTACAAATTACAATGCCCAACCTGTTTTCTTTTTTCTTTTCTTTTTTTTTTAAAGAAAAACGGGCAACAGCCTTGACATATCATTGAGCTGACTGGCCCCAGGTAGGTAATTCAGAGTTCTTTTGATTGCATCTGGATTCAAACACAGGTCTGATTCATATTTCAACAGTTCATGGGTGTACCAACTGACCTAGGCCCATTGGTTGCAGGTGCGAGAAAAGTGTGGTCGTCTTACCCTGAAGAACTTCCGACCAATCAGGCCGTTAGGATCCGGCGATACAGGAAGGTAGGCATCACTTACTTTCTCTGCAAGTAAATTAATTAAAAAAATGATTGATTTGTTCTGTATATGCATGCCGTTCCTTGCACAGCAGAGCCCACCCCACAGTTTTTGCGGGTTGTGATGAGGTCCGGTTTGTTCGCTGGGTGGACGCTCCGAGTCGTTTATTTCAACCTGTTTTCCGACCCTCGTCCTTTTTCATTACCCAGATGAGACCTGACATATGACAGCAGGGAAGCCAATTGGAGCCAAGGATCTGATGCTATCTCTGGCCATGTCGTTCCATGCCAAACTCTGTTTAGAGAGAATTTTGATTACCCATTTGATGTGTAGTGCTTTTGTTTCTTGTTTTGGGTCAATGATGCCCAGGCCACCTCATGGCCGCTAACAGGCAGCGTAGTGCCCCACGATTTTTGAAATATGATTCTGTTTGTTTGGATCCCCTGAGCAGAGGTAGACCCAAGCCTCTCCTGATGATTCGAGGTGAACGGCAGAAACGGGTCGAGGGAATCACCATGTTTTGTTTTTGCTAGGATAGAAGGTTGTTTGGGTTGTATGGTGGATTTGGCGAAGTGTATCGAGGTGGATTTTGTCTCTTCCCGAGCTTTGTGCTTTCTCCCTGGGCTCTTCGCGTTGTTGCCGCAACTGTCTCTGTCCATCTCAACCCTCTTTTGTTTAGTTGGGAGATAGTGTGGTCTGGAAGAGTCCAGATAGATGGATGATGCTATGGACCAAATGATAAAGAATACCGATGCATATGTGGGCTCATGGTGTTACGGACTCCCGCCAGGGCTCGATCCCTAGTCTATCTTTTTGCTGTTTCGGCTGCATCCCGTTTTCGGCCTGGCACCCTTTTTCCAAACCCCTCCTTTGGTACCGTAGGATCTTGGACAACTGGCGCCATGCTGCAATTCCGGCGCCACTTTCAAATACCCCATTTTTCAGTTCTGCCCTCGGGGTCTTTGCAGAAATGCCCCTGGTACCGTACGTGTCACCGGTACTTATACCGGCTCCCCGTGCGGTACAGGGACCAGTCTCGTACCAGTTTTCTGCTGCTGTACTCATACTCAGGTGACTTGCTGTTTCGGCATTCGGATTCCAAGACTTCGACACTGTGCCTTGCCACTGTGTCTGCGTCCGACCCTCAGTCGTGTCGAGTGAGTGAGTGTGTGTGTGCTCTCACTCTCTCCCTCTCTCTCTCCTCTCCCTCGGCTCTCCCTCAGCCTCGCGCTGGTCACACATGGGGAAAGTTGTTTTGGAGACGATCGGACTTGAACCGGTAACTTCATACTTGTGAAACATGGGCTCTACCAGTTGAACTACGCCCTGGACGGAAAGGCGGAATGCGATTTCAAACCATGATACAATCTTGTTGTATTTTGATTTAGCTAAAGCTGCTAAAGCCATTATCATGATCGTCAATCAAAAAAGAAAGAGTTGAAATATGTTAGGCAGCCGTCTACCCCAGAGGGAAGTGAATCTGTCCCCATTTTCCCATTCTATTCAGCGTGTTCGACAGAAGATTGTATGCCATCTGCGGTGCTGGACCATCCTTGTTCGCTACCGTCTTCACCCAAATACAACACCGGCTCATTATAGTTGTTTTGTGCAATTTTCAGTGTGGAGGCAGCGATAATGACTGGGCATTCTATTCGGGTGAAGACGGTAGTAATCCCTTCTGGGGGAATATTGCTGAAGTAATTTTTCAATGGTATTCTCGAATTATTCTCAAATTATCTTGGTTTTAGTCGTTGTTAAAAAAAAAAAAAAAAAAAAAAAAAAAATTAAAAAAAAAAAAGTATGCCCGGATAACGGGTTGGGTTATCCGGATCGTCCCACACCAGGTCGCCTTGCGGTCCATTCAACTGTGGTGGGGCCTCAATCAACAGCCACCATCGAAATAGTCTTCGCAGTGGGGTCTCAACTGACAGCCAGTGTCAGCCACCATCAAATAGTCTTTTAGTCCAATTCACGTTCATTTCTGATGCTAATAGTCTTCCAGTGCCTTCCATTGCTCCAAACGAGGAGTCCGAGGCTCTAATCAGCACTGTTAGATCATGTGCAAGCATAATCACCGTTGCTGACTGGGATTTGATCTGTGCCTGCTGTCTGCCACCCAGCTGCTGGGCTAGAGTGCATTCGCCTACTAGGGTCAGGCACCCCTTAGGGGGATGGCCCAATAAACTGTACCCGTTGGGGGTAGGCAGTTCTTGCTGAGAACGGAAGGGCTCCTCGGAGCACCTCAGGGGGACCGAGGGTGATGCCTGTGTGACAGGGTACCGTAAAGGTCTCCCGGTGCGGGATACTCTCGGCCGTGAACCCTGAGGTGAGGTGGGTTGCTCTCAATACTGGTAGGGTGATGGTCCTGAGTGCTGGTTAACGTGGGGATGGGTAGGGTAGGTGGCCTATCCTGTCAGGACAACCATTGGCTGCCGCTACTAGCAATCACCGCGGCAACCATTGGCTGCCGCTACTAGCAATCACCGCGGGTCTGGTCCTTGGCCTCTACAACACCCTGGGCCCTGCGCTTTTGAGCTGAAATGCCAACTGCTCTACCCTGAACGTGTACAACTTTTCTGGAAAAAAAAGGAAAAAGAAAAAGAAAGACATGTGACGTGCTGACCCTAAGTTCCAGGTCCAGAAGCCTTTCACAAAAAAGGTGTTATGGCTTCCATTATGAACAGGAAGATTGGAGGGGGCCAGTGGCTCTCCCTGCCTGACTGAAGAGGAGATCGAGTAACTTTCCGAGAGTAGGTAGGCCATTCATTTGGACACACCCTGTTGCATCCTTGTGCAAAACTCGGATCCGCTTTCTGAAGTTGGGACCTACTGGTCCTACTCCCATTTTTTCCATGCTTTAGTTCAGAAAGGCGCAATCCTGTTGGTCATGGGTTCTTGTGATGGACTATCTTCTGTAATCGCACAACTTCCCGCGCGGGGCTGCTGTGGGGAGACGGGAGGGTCTTGATGGGTGACGGGGCGCAAGCGGAATCGGTGGGGCAAGTTGCCTGGATGCCCTCGCTTCTTTTTCGTTTTCGTTGGAGTTGGCGGGCCGGTGCCGGGAAAGTCCCGCGCCGACGATTAAGTGACCGCGCCCTGGCAAGCGTGGGAAATAACGGTCGCCATAGCTTCTTTCTTCGGAATTTTGGCGCGATCAGCGCGCGGGAATTTTTGGTTTTTTTTTTTTAATTCGAACTAATGTCGAGCCCTCGTAGGCTCTTGGAATTGTTTTTCTTTCCTTTCCTTCTTTTTCCCTTCAGGAGTTTCTCTTGCAATTAGGATTTAGACTAGGAATTTAGACACTTTGCAATTTGGCGGCATGGCACTTCTTGCTCGCACGCGCCGTGACCCGACAGGGTCTGGGCTCTGAATCCATCCGCGCCTTAATCCAGTGTGTAACTGTAGTTTTTGGCGGGCGCGATCGCAACTGTAATCTTCTTGTTCTTGATGGTTTTTTGTATTTCCTTCTTTCCCGCCTTGTCTTCGCATGCACACTCTTCCTCTGTTCTGAGTGGTTCCCACGGTTGCATACCCGGATCGATGCGTGGAGAGTGCTATAAATTTCGCAAGCGCGATTAGTTGTCTCTCTAACCTACTTGGGAGTTAGCGCGGTTGAGAGGATCGGCTAACGAGCAGAAAGACGGTGAGTAGAGAGTCGGGCGATCTGACGAGCTGGCGCTGAGTGTGCGGGGTTGACGCGTGGCCGCGACGGACTGTGGCACGTGGGCGAACCTGGCTTGCATACTCAGGCCAAGCGGGGTGACGACTCGGGTGGATGTTGGAGGTGCGGGGCGACGGACTGCCCGCATCGAAAGAGAAAGAGAGAGAGAGAGAGAGAGAGAGAGAGAGAGAGAGAGAGAGAGAGAGAGAGAGAGAGAGACGGGGATATGGTGGAATAGTGTCTATTCTCCCTACTGTGTGTGTAAATTTTGATTTCAACGTTGGTCAATTTCTATTGCGGCATTTCTGGAATTTCTTGAGTAAATCATCTCGGACTTTTGTTGTATGTATGTATGCATGAATGACGATGAATGAGCTTGTATCCTTTCTTTTGAGTTGTCTTTTTTATCAATGATTACGGAAACCGCTGGGTGTGTATGCTTGTGAATGATCAATAGTCCTTTTTCACCTATGGGAACGAGATTGATTGCCTAAGGGAACTAGCTGCATGGTTGAACCGGTACGTTGACGGATCGCTCCTTGTTTATTCGTGCTGTTTAGGATCTGATAAACTGGCTGGTGCGCACGCACGTGTAAGACAGCAGTCGTCCGCGGACTTGCCATCTACACGCGCGTCTGCAAAAGTCAGCTACGATCTCGCCCCGTAGAAAGATGTGTGTGCACGAACTCGGCTGAATGAGACATGGCGATAGAATCCCCCTTCTGGATCACCGATCGCGAAAGCCTGAGGGACCCAGAATGCCGAACGTATTGGGAGAGGGAACAAATCCATCGGCAGCGGATTCGACAACATCGCCACTTCGGAACCCTGGGCACCTTGAGTACCCCTGCCGGACTGAAAACGAGCGATTGTGCAGGGGCGACTTCCAGCTGGCAATCAACCGAGACCCGCGGATTCACGATTATCCCGACAGCCGAAACCAGCAATATCTTCTAATTCCAGGCTTCGTTGCCATCACCACCGACTTCCCTCCCTACTATACCGTCCTTCCCTACCACCGTTTATTCATGGTCTCCTGGGATTCCATAGCCCGGTTCTGGCCCCGTCCGCCGTGCTCAGAGTGTCGGCAGCCCGGCGAGTATCAGCAGGCGAGGGTCACGCAACGAACCCGGCCCAGGACAGAGCGACGAGAACCCAGCTCGTCTTCGTCGGACCCCGAGACTTGCGACGGCTGGCAGCGGTACGAGCACTCCCACAGAGACACTCGTAGCACCCCACCCCGGCCCAGGCCGCACGATCGACAATCGCCCCAACTCTGAGCCAGAAGACACTTGCACTTCTACCCCAGGAACTCGACACAGGAGATTCCAGTTCCGACCTGGAACTCCGCCCCCACTTTCCTAAAATCCTTGGCACATCCCTTTTTCGCACTTCCGGGCCCCCATCCCACTCCGATCAGGAAGTCACGCTGGGCGTGAGGTTGGGCGTCACATTCTTTGAAAAATAATAATAATGAGGTAATAACAGAATTGCCGTCTTGACTCTTGTGTTATGATCCTGGCCAATTTCGAGATACACATCCATCAGATAGTACAATGCCGCCCAATTGCAGAAAGAAATGAATGAACTTGAGAGGAGAGAGAGGATTAGAAGAAGAAGAAGTAAGTAAGAAAGAAGAAAAAGATGATGTACACCAGCATAGACAAATGACAAGGCTCTTCTTCTTCGCCCAACAATCTCCTCCTCCTTCTCTCCCCCTTCTCTTATTCATACAAGAAATAATAATACAATGTTGAATGGCTGATCCAGAATCAATGTCTGAGTTCCTCTTCTACTGCCGGCATCACTTGAGGTCCACCATAGCCATGGCCGCCTCCTCCTCCCTTCCTCATCATATGCCGAGGCTATGGCGGACTACTAGGCCTTGCCCAGATGCCGAAAGGACAACCCAAAGCAGCTATGGCTGCTTCACTCAGGCCGCCATGCCCAACTCTGCCTTGAAGCTTCTTGGTGTGGCTCTCTCCAGTCGGGGACTCCCTGTTGCAGCGCCCACCAAGGTGATGAAGATGGCTGCCACCATAGCCAGGTAAGTACCCCTGGCGCTCCTCCCCCTTCCTGTCCTTCTTCCTCCTGCGTGTCCTTCTCCTTCCCCCAGCAGCGCTGCTCCATCCGGCGCTCCAACCAGTGTGTCGCCGAACCTGCACACCGAGAAAGAGGCCGGGCTCTTCGCCCGGCTGGGAGATATAGCAGCCTGCTTGCCTCTTCGGGCGGTGACTTCCAGGCCGCTCGGCCTTCCAAGCAACCGGTACCTCCTCCCTTTCGGAGGGAAACATCATTGCAGACTCTGATATTGCCCGTACAGGCTCTAGACCTAGACTGGTTGGACTGGTATCCGCCTAGACCTAACCTCCAACTACTGGGCCTCTAAAAATGCCACTTTTGTCTTCTTCTGCTCGGCCTCCAGTGCCCGCACATCTACCCCTTCAGGGTGCGGTACCGGCCTACCCGCTACTTGAGTGTTTTTTTCGAAGGAGGTAGTCATTATACCCATCTTTTTTTTTTAAGCAACCTTTTTTTTTTTTTAATTAGAAATGCTGGAAAGCGGGTCCAGAGTCATTATACCCATCTGCGGGTCCAGAGTCATTATACCCATCTGCTTCCATCAGAATTCGAACTTATCCTTCGGCCAACGGAAGGAGGCGTGTGTGGCTTTCCTGATGTGCCGGTGGAATAGGAACCGGACTGATGCCCCGCCAAATGGAAAAGGAGCCAGGACCATAAGGTTCTGTTTGAAGAAAAAAAAAATTGAAAAACAAATGATCTGCTCAGTGCTTACTAACAGTTGTATGTGTGCCGCAGTGTGCGCCATTCAGCCAGATGGGCTTGGTGAGGACTTTCCCTTTTATTTTAAATTCTAAGCTTTCTGTGCCTTTTGCCTGTTGTGTTTTCACAGCGTACACCTAGTGGAACTGGTGGACACTGGAAAGCTGTTTGCAATGAAGGCCATGGACAAACAGATGATCCTGAATCGAAACAAGGTAAGACATAGGTCTCAAAATGATGGCATTCATACATTGCTGTGAGCTGAAGCAGGAGATATGGGGCCTAGCTCCACTACTCACCACATGCATAAAAGACGAAAAAAATATGGCAGTGTATCTTCCCGTGTTCTAGCGGAAGATTCATTCTCATCTTGCGAATTTGGTGAGTAGTGGAGCCAGGCCCGTGGTCCAATGAATGTCAAAAAATATAGAAGACATTCGATCACCACCCGCCATTCTACTATTCTCTTCTCCTTTTCTTTTGATTTGAAGTTTAAAATTCCAGAGTTTGATGTTTTATCAATGACCAAGGTAAGCGCACAGTATCTGGATGTACTTATGGACTGCTCTGTTGCTCGTTGACAGACCTCCTTTTCTTTCGATTTGAAGTTTGAAATTCCGGAGTTTGATGTTTTATCAATGACCAAAGGTAAGGGCACAGTATCTGGATGTACTTATGGATTGCTCTGTTGCTCGTTGACAGACGATCAGTCCAAGTACGCTGAATGTACCTGATCTGGATCCTCCAGGGTCACCGACAGTTGTTTGCCTTTGAATGGAGCACCATTGGATCAATTTCCGAACATCCCAAAATCAGGCTTTGACCGACAGTCATGTGCAAAAAAAAAAAAAAAAAAAAAAAAAGGTTTGGCCGACAGTCGTGTGCGCTTCACACGCCATTCTTCCGCAGTGCATAAGTGGGGTTCTGCAGCAGAGCACGAATGCTCATGGCAGCAGAGCAAGAATGCTTATGGTGAGGCCTAAAGATCCTCAATCTCGTCTGGGGTTCATGGGCGGGTCCCAACCGACATAGCATGTCGGCTATGGCCAAAGGGGTTGGACATTTGGGCATAGCGAAAAATTTGCCTCCTCTTAGTCCTCTATGTCTAAGGGTCCAGAAGTAGTCTGAAGTACAAAAAGTTTAAAAATTTGCCCCTTCCATGTCTAAGGGCTTAGCTGTTCACATATTGCCTGTGCCTCTGTGCAAAAATGGAGGACTCTGTCGCCGAGCACAAACACTGATGGTAAGGACTAATAAGGACGCATGATCTCTTCAGGGGTCCATGGTGGGGTCCCAAGCTGCATAGCAGGGTGCATAGCATGGTCCCAAGCTGCATAGCATGGCCACACTACCGCGGCTATGGCCAAAGGTCCGACCTTTGGACATTGCAGTCTTTGGACATAGTTGAAGTTAAAACTTTTGCCCCTGTTATGTGTAAAGCGTCATCCGTTCACTCATTACTCTTCTTGATTGAACTGCCCAAGGCCGGATTATATGGTAAGTCCATGCAGCCAGGACTCGCGAGATGTTATCAATCAAGAAAAAAAAAAAAAAAAAGAAGTCTGAAAGAAAATAAGAAAATAAGAAAATAAGAAAATAAGAAAGAAGCCCTTCTAATTATCCGTTATAATTGAAATGACACAGACCAGTGAAAATCAGCGTGGTCCGTGCCCAACAATGACATGCACCAATTGAGAAATCGTCCAAATTTCAGGGGAACGGGGAAAAGGAAGAAAACAAGGGAGGAAGGAGAGGAAGGGAGGCAGGGGGTGG